TACAGAAGGAGCAAAGTAGCAGAAGGCAGGAAACGCGATGATCATAAGATCAAGTTCAATATATGGAGCTCGTCATTTTTTTTTATCTTGCATTAGGTATGGATCCATCCATCCCAAGTGCCTGAACCATTGCTACATCACTAGAGATGGCAACTAATGTCGGCATCCGTCCTGGTCAGAAACTGTGCATGACCACATGGAAGTCGGGTGGCTTTGGCGGAACCGAGCTCCCCCAGCTTTCTGGTTCTCGCCTACATGAACATAGTTTGTCGATTTGTGTTCCCGAGACCTGTGATACGGGGATTCTCCATAGTAGAGTTGTCTTAAAGCATGAGATCGTGGGGCCATAAGCCAGTCTAGTTCCAGCCCAGGCTCTCCGCATGAGTTCTCGATGCGGAGAGGCGAGACTGTTCTGACAATCTGACTCGCGGCCCTCGCTGGTGCCCGGCTTTCGTCCCGGACTTCGGCCTCCTAGTTGACGGCCTTCGGTCGCTACTCCCAGCATTTGCTGCGGACAACGTCCATTGCGAGTTGATCCATTGAGATGGTGCAATGGTCTGCGATCCAGGCACGGCGCGTCAAGGATTGACAAAGCGACGTGCCAATACAGTTGTGGCTGCAAGGCGTCGATGCTCAAACATTCTATATATGTCGTGAATAATCCTGTCTTTTTTCCGCCCGGAGATGGTGGCAGAGTCTGCAGCATCGGAAACGCGGTCGAACGCGATCAAGCTTTCGCTGCCAGGATATAGAAGATCATCTCGACTTTATCCTTGATTCCATCCATCAACTCTCCTACTCTTGCTCCTTATTATCATCATCGCAATTATTGTCAAAGTATTGCTATACGCAAACGTCCAAAATGGCCGGTGATACAGGTTCGGTGGACCTCTCTGTAGGTCACCGCTTGAAGCAGTTTAACAGCACAATTCTGTTCATCATGCTGTAAGTGCCCAATATACTTTCATCATATCTAAATCAAACATATTTCTAATCAACATGATGCTCTCCAGGTACATGTGCAGCTGCGCCTTCAACTTTGGTTACGATGTTGGCAACTTTGGAGGAGTCCAAGGCATGCAGAGCTTCGGCAAGCGGTTCGGTCAATGTGATCCTACAACAGGCACTTGCAAACTTCCCCCATGGCTGTCTTCTCTTATGACGTCGCTGCCCTTCCTGGGTAAGGCTCTGGGTGCCATTGCTTGTGGACCGATTGCCGAGCGATACGGACGCAAGATGTGTGTCCTGGTTCTGGCTTGCCTGTCCTTCATGTGGGTCACCCTTTGATAAAAACGTTTGGATTTGATGAATTGCTCCTATAGAATACAAGGTTTACTGACAATGGATTCTACAGCGGTGTTCTTCTGCAAACAACTGCAAGGTCGAGCGCACAGTTCACTGTGGGCAGATTCATCAGCTTCGGCATGACGGGAATGACCATCGTTGTTGTCCCCATCTACCTGGCTGAGACCTCTCCCAAGGTTCTGCGTGGAATGATGACATCTACGCTGCAGCTCATGATTGTTTTTGGCCAGCTGATTGCCTCGCTGGTCACATTTGGAACTCAGCACATCTCTGGCGATAAAGGCTGGCAGATTCCCGTTGGTCTGCAATTCATTGCTCCCGCATTTATTGTGGCACTGCTGCCTCTTGTTCCTGAATCTCCACGATGGTAAGCAATAAACCAAGTTTTCTTGATTTTGTAATAAAACTAATTATTCACAAAATACAGGCTCCTTACCCGAAACCGAACTGAAGAGGCAAAAGTTTCCCTGCGAAGACTCTACAAGAACCACACCGAAGCCGAAATTGAGCAGGAAATTGACATTCTCCGTCATGCTCACTCTACGGAGGAAAAGGGCCCGTGGTCAGAGGTCTTCAACAAGGAAAACCGAAAGCGTACCATGGTTGCTGTGATTGCCATGTTTGGGCAGCAGATTACCGGACAGGCCTTCTCCAGCCAGTACTCTGTTGTGTTCTACCAGTCTCAGGGCTACAAGAGCCAGGCTTTCCTGTTCAACATCTTGAGCAACGTTACTGGCCTCGTCTGTCTCATTGCTACTTGGTTTATGATTGACCAAATTGGCAGACGCCCAATGCTGATGATTGGTGGCTCAGGAATGGCCATCTTTCTGTTTATTGTTGGCGGTGTTGGAGTTGAGAAGCATCCCAACGACTCTGAGAGAGGAGCATTGGTAAGTTATGAGACTCTCTTTCCTCTTTACAAATATGCATATTTACGATTATTAGGTGGCATCTTTCATCTTATTCGCTTGCTCTTACAACTTGTCATGGGCTCCAGTGTCATATGTCGTGGTGTCCGAGGCTGCCTCCACTCGTGTCAAGGAAAAGACCAATCTCTTTGCATCCGTCATTTCCATCATCACCACATTTGTCACCTCATTCACAATTCCTTATCTGCTCAACGCGCCGTACGCCGCACTCGGTGCTAAAGTTGGCTTTATTTATGGCTCCATCAACTGGGTGATGGTTGGTGTGGCTTACTTCTTCATTCCTGAGATGAAGGGACGGAGTCTTGAAGAAGTTGACGAACTTTTCGCATCTGGAGAATCGCTGCGAAACTTCAGCAAAGCTAAGGTGACTCCTACGGCTACCTATATCGAGGATACAGCTAGAAAAGAGCCGGGCTCTGGCGAGGCTTAGAATGCGACTCGTGTAGACTGTGGACATCATGTGGGGGAGCGATAGTCGGATAATGAAGTTTAGTCAATATTAGTAGCATAATGAATTCTCAATCAGAAGAGGCTGATATGAGGCCGACAATGTCATAAAGTCCGCTGTAGATTCACCATTTCCAGACCATTAAGGGTGAATAGCGACCAGTAAATGTATATAATTCTACAGCAGTAATTGACTATCTCAACCACGCTAGGTTATACTTCAAAACGTATCGATTGGTGAGAGCAACTCCATTTTTAAGAAATTAGGGAGAGCCGAGCTAGACGGTAGCTTTTCCAGTAAAACAAATTTTAAAACAACTTACAAACGCGGACTTGGGCTGTGTCCGATACCCGAAAGGATTGGGTGGGCCGCGGGATCAGAGATACCCAGATGTGGCGTAGTCTCAGGTAAATTACTGACTGATCGTTTATTTTGTCAACATACGACCTTAGAGACTATCCTTCCATTTGAGGGCCGTCAGTGAAGAGAGCAAATCTCATCACACTTTCGTATAATGATCAAGATCTGTCTAACGGACAATGCCTAGTCTCAAGTCGGTGGACAAAGCCCTATCGCTGCCTCAAAGATATAATGCGTAATTGTATTCTTAAGGGAAGTAGGAACATTTTTCACATACAAGAATACTTGTAGAGATTGTATGATCAATGGATATCATCAAACCAAAGTATCAGCAACTAGAGATACATCTACATATTTGTAATGAATGAACAAGTGGATGAAGTAATAGTATATAGACCATGACTTAGATATTGTCATGTATTACTAGTGTATGTGTACCAAAATACAAGACAACATCAAGCACTCCTTGTATTATGAGAAGATAACTTCGGTATGTCATGCCAAAACCCTGTCACTCCTTCGACCAAAATTCGACCGAAACGCGTAGCACCATGTGTAGAGTATGAAAATGTATTGGTAAATGGGCTGCCTGAGAATGAAAAGTTAACATAATGTTTTTGGAACTGTATAGCTATGCATGATCAATGGTAGAAGCCACAACACACACAAGACTTTAGTTCCACAGTATGGGGTGAGGGTAAATGATCCAGTACAACTTCATGACGTACTCGAAACCCATCTATACGAGCAAACATGATCAATTAGAAATCATATGCATGCAGTATGTTTGCCGGTAGTCCACATTCTGACGTGTCTACTTCCTTGGCATGTACATCGACGCGACCCAGCTCGTGGGCTTGTCCATCGGTGAGATATTGTAAAGCGTTGAGAGACATTACAATCCCAGACTCAGCACTGTCGATAGCAAGGAGTGATATAGTTTTATCGTTGTATTCGAGTGTCCAGCAAGAGAAACACTTGCCAGAGTTCAACCGATCGATGCTGTGCAAACCAATGAAGCCAACGGCATCTTGTTGAATTTGCCAATCCAAGTTGGGCATGAACCCGATATTCTTTCTCCAGCAGGCGACTGTGTTCAAAGATCGAGAAGGGTCATCGTAGAGAGGATCGAAGGTCGCTATTATCGGTGAGCAATAGAGGAAAAAGCCTCAGCTAGGAATCTTTGATAGCCCTTACCAGACACAACCTCGGCGGTAACAGGGACAACAACTGCTGCAATTTGGAAGAGGCGGGTTGCTAGCATTTTGGATAGACTTGCCAAATTTCTGGCGTGAATAACGATGGCGTTGTAATGGATTGATTGGCGAAGTGATGAACTAGTGCTAGTAGGATGATGAAAGATGGGGAGGAGTGTGGGAGGGACGGAAGGGACGGACGGAAGGGAGACTCCCTATATCTGCAATGGGTGGAACAACCAGGGTCAGCAAAAATTATTACTCTGACGCCTAAGAAAGAAGCCACCACGCACATACATGGTATTATCCACCCATTGGCCATTGCACAGCCCTCGGGGTTTGTTTGTTTGTCTTCATCCCATCAGTCAGTTAATTCGTACATGCAGATGGTCCCATGTGACGGCATTCCCGCAACTTCCATTCCAGGTCTCCACGCGCCTATCACGACACGAGAACGTCTATACCAAATAGAAGATACTACCAAATGGGGAATACGAGATATGAACAACAAATGAAAACCCAAATGCTCAAAATAGCACATGTGAATGTTGGCAACTGAGGATTTGTCCTCTATAAAAAAAGGATGAATATCCCCCAGTCTGTCAAGGTTTAAATTGGTGTTTAAACACATTGCAAGTTTCTTCTAAATCCGCTTATTAAGAGACTTTTAAGATCATATTCGAAGCAACCCAAAGTAACCTATTCTTCTTGCCTCTGTGTGTGGCTCAGAGATTAGCCGTCAAACCCTTGGAGGCCGTCATCATGAAGACACCAAGCACCACACTGCTTTTCATTGTCTTTGCCGCGTCTGTTGTAAGACCGGAAGATATTTCTCCGCGAGATATGGATGCCCAGAAACTCTGTGGAGACCTTGAAGTCATGAAGATGGACGTCAATCAGCTCCCTAGCGGCATATCCCTAGACAACGTCCGGATGTGTGAAGAGCACCCTCTCACTCAGGATGACATTGATATATTGGATGGGGCATCTCTAGCTCCCGCTGATGTCAGTAAAAACGGTGGCACATCGGCTCTCCCACTCCATTTTGGGGTAAAGCGAGCTTGTTATTACGCCGCCCCTTATGGCTGTACCAGGGGCTATTGCTGGAAGGCCTGTGATGATGACGGCAAATGGTGTTGGACTGCTTCTCAGGGTGGATACGGTGCTTGGGCAACATGCAAAACTTTTGAAGACTGCGGCTTAGATGATGATGATTTTGGTTGTGGGAAACGTTGCCAACGTTGCGGCTGTGGTTGTTAATGGGAGGCTGGATGTATGTTGGAAGTAGAGTTAAGCCATTTATAGATGCTTAATGCTACACAAGTTCCCGAATTAGAAGGAATTGCTAGAAAAAAACTAGGTTTAAGTAAAATTTTACTGTCCGTTGTAGTTTGACCCTTGCAAAGACTCTCGGTCCTCCGGTAGTTGTTCTTCATCACTTATCAAACGAGCACCAAGCCATCTGAATTACGAATCAATGTTACAAAATATTCTCATATTTGGGACAAATTGGGCAAATTGGTAGCATTACTACATACGTATCATTGCTAAAGCACCATGCTCTCAATGCGGAGCTGATGAAAGGAGGCCTCGCTCTTCGGCTTCTCAGCAGCATTACGAGGCCGTTGGTTGGTTCAACTCGCAGGGCTTCTCGCAAGGCTGAAAAGCACGATACTATCAGCTACTTGAACACGTAAGGTGTGGTCCAATTCCATCATCTCATGTGGATCTAATTGGGAGCTTGGGTCCAGCTGCCGGCGAGATTAGCCGGGTTGCTTCATGAGGCTCGTCAGCAAGCATCCCCGTCTCATAGCTCAGCTAGCACTTGGTAGACGATGCAAGGCTATCGCGTGCTTCAACAGCCGTGGCGCAGGCGCAAACGACGGGGACTTCTCGGCCGAAAGCATGAACAATTATGTAAATACGTTGCCAATGTGTGCAAAAGTTCTCAATGCCTGTACAGTAGTATCCGGAGCCGCCTATCAACTAACCCTCTCAGCTCGACGGGTAACCAAAATCTGTGTAAGAGCAAAACTCCCCCACTTCTGGGGATACCCGCATAGCCGCGTGTATAGTGGATATAAGTCGTCGTCATCTCCTACGCATCACGACGTATGCACTAACAGGGGATCTCCTTACGATCAGACGCTTCTATGTTCTTAGTGCTATATTAACTCTATAAATAAGGTGCAGAAAGCCAAGTTTTAGATAGAACGACGCAAGCTTTCGGATCGCGCCGAGCTATGCAAGTTGGATCTAGCCAACCGCGGGTTCTTTACGCGCGTCGCAGAAGCATGGGTCAGCCATAGTGACATGCTACTGGGGTTTTTTGTCTCTTCAAAGTTAAAAACTTCTTGTTCCTCGTCCAAATTACCCTAATGGGAGAAACTGGGCAAACCATCTAGATGGAGAATTGAGTGCCATGTTATATTGCTTTTATTCCATGCCTCTTCCTTCTCAATCTGGAGCAAGGAGTGCATGTAATATTCCTGTAAGAGTTCCAGTGCCCAAATCCTAGTGGTGCTACTAACAGACAACTCGCCGCAAACGGCCAGCTCAATGCTCTTCAAGAATCTTTCGGCGTATGCCTTGTTTAGAAGGGCGTCCTACGGAGCTTGAGAGCTACAGTATCACCGAGTATTTTTCTTGGTGATATGACCCGAGTCATAAGAATCCTACCAAATTAAGTTCCGATGACTTGAATAGGCTAGATGATGCGCAGAGGAAGGCAGTAAGCTCGAGACACATGACGGCATTTATGATCTATCCGTGAAATGATGTAAGGAAAAGAAATGCGCAAGAAATAGAAGCTGAAAGCATCTTATCCATTCCCAAGTGCGCGCTTTAACTCTGCTATGCCAGTCATCAGAACACAAATATTGCTGAACATCACTCTTCAGCTTCCAAATCAATGTGAGAAGCTGTGGGCAAACCAGAAACGCAATATTCATGAGACGGCTTACTCACTGACCGCTATAAATTGATGCCTCTCTGGCCAGTGACGTAAAATGTTTCTCTTTGTGATACATGCATGTCATATGATCAAAAATTTGGTTTATATCGGTTCATCGGGGATGATTCCTCCCCGACCGGCCGATTACATCCTTATTGGCCTGGAAGACTCCTCACCTCTTTCTGACCGATGTGGGCGAAGGAATTGTCTGAAACAAGTCGCCAACTGTTACCATTCCGACTCCATAGATCATCTGTATGCAACAGATCCTGTCAGCTTACATAGTAGCTCAAAGATCAGTCCGCCACTCCTTCGCCCAGTAGTGTAACCCGATGAGAAACCGCTACACCAATGAAGTTTGTCGGGCTGAATATACGGTTTTGATAGGCGGCTAATATACCTGCTTTAAGAGACTACATCCACTCTCGGTGATATTTGCAATCCACTATACGCTATAGAATAACAAGAGAGGCGAGGTAATAGGGTAATGGAGACTCAAGGACATCAGTTGAATCTAACATGAATTTGAGCCAGTAGTGCAATCTAGTCGCTATGCCGTGGAGTGACTCGTGGTTACCCTATAAGTCATCTAAGATGAATGTCAGCCGTTTCAAAATCAGTTCATTTTTTTAACTTGTCGTACTGATATCATCATGCTGTTGGGGATTTACCTTCATCCTGAGACAAGTGTAACGTATGTTTCAAAGTTTACTGCATGCACAGTGTCGACAGCAATTTACAGCATCATTGCTGATATTATTATGTAGCATTACAACTAAGATGGATCAATTCCCATGGATAAAGTCCAATTATAAGATTTCCTAGTATTCTATAGAGAAGAAAAAAGATATATAAATACTTGTGTATTTAATAGTGTGCCTCGTTATCTTCTCATCTACTATTCTAAAGCACTCTTTTCCGAAAGAACAAGTGGATCTCGATCTTAAGTAATTATGAAGTTATTGCCTGTTGTTTACTTTGTTTTTTTAATTGCGCCTTTGACTGCGACATGGTGTTTTTAAATGCAAACACCTGCCCAATAGAATTATACAAGGGTTAAGCTACTGCATCTTGCTGTGACAAGATTAATGTGCATAACTATGACTGTGGCTGCTGGGTTGAAGGGGAACTTTGGATGAGATTCCGAGATTGCTGTGTATACGATTGGGGTTGCAGTGGTGTCAGCGACTAGGGTCTAAAATAATTACTAAATTTAGGTGTGTTTTTCTAAGTCTTGCTTAACATCAGCTTTAACTAACTCCAGCTTATTGCTTATGCAATAGAGCTATCGGACTTTACCTTGAATATCCCAGCAGCCCTGGGGTATGCAGTGCCTAATATCTCTTTGTACTAAAGGATTTGTAAGGCTATTAGGGTTGATTGGCACCTTTGGTCGTTGTATGGAGTTCTTTACTTAGAGTTTAAGCTTGACCGACTATTGGCCTGCTACTGTCTTTACCGATATAATTCCAATCACTGATAAAGAAGATTAGGGAGTCGAGTATTTCTTATAAATGTCCTGATATGTGTGCCCGCTATGCTTATATATATCTCCTATGTTAGCAGTCTAGATCAGAATATACACTTAATTTTGTCTAAAAATTCTTACGCTATTGCATGATGAAGCTGTTTCGAAATACTACTTTTCTAGACTTGTTATAGTAAAATTAAGTTATGCAGGGCTATTAACTGGCTAAATGGGACTTTTTTTGTTTTATTTATATTATAGGGAAGTAATTTTATTAACTTGAGGTCTTAAAAAGTTTGTGGTAGCTTTACTATAGACGGTGAGAATTTCGGACTTGACAGAGAGGATACTCCGGGAACCTGAAGGTGTGGTTGGGGATGTGGATTTACATGAGGATCGATGGAAAATATCGACACCACCTAGATAAATTCTTTCCTTGAGTTTGCCGCTGTGATTTTTGCGCTCCGTGACCTTGTGGATGTTCCGTTGACCGGGCCTATTATATATATACCGGGTTTTAACCTATACCTTGTCTGTCGTTGGGATATTCTTTGGAAGAAACGGTGTTTTTGAGGCAGCTGATGACTGAAGAAATTTATTGTAGTCCTATGTTATGGATAACTAATGTGATAGTGATGACGGACAGTCACGTATTCTAGCTGGTGAGGATGCATTATAATGAATAAGCTTAGATATATAGCTAATCTGCGTCTTTGTGAGCTTATTGTTGTACATGGGGGTTGGTTTGACAAGTGTTTTATTATAGGGAGCTGCAGAGGGGCCAAAGTTTACGTAGGGGAATATATGCGCTAGAGTAGTTGAAGAAGTACTACTTAGATATGATTCTTCTTCGTAGAAGTATTTTTTAGTCTACGCCGCGGCTTCTAGCAGCTTATTAGTCAGTATGTACCTTAGAGAAATTTTATTTCCTGCTGTATTATAATTATACTACTTGACACTCCTATAGGGATATAGGTCTGTGTTGGGATTGGTTTTTACTATTATAAACGTTAATCCCGGCTCCAGTAAATCTAGCTGATCTAGCTTATATATAGCGTTTTGAAGATAATAAGGAGCCTGATTGTAAATTACTACTATACACATGGACTGAGAGGAAGAGTCTAAAATCGCGTGAAGAGATAGAGCCGCAGGCGAACCGCAGGCGAACCTGTAGCTATAGCCACTAATATAAATGTAGGAATCCTAGACCAAAACTCATAGGCGTTGCTATAGAGTCTACTGTATCTGTGACGGTGGAGTGTTGGATATAAGCGCTTGCTTGATGCAAGCGGTATAGTAGTAATATATGTTAAATAAATGTTTTTTCCTCCAATCGTTTATGAAATGATGTACTTGATGAATTAATAATAATTAAATGAATTGATGAATATCAAGTTCAGTAGCTTTCTAATAATTAATATACTCTATTCGAAAAAGAAAATGTTATAATAGAAAAGTAGAACCTGAAAAGTTGAATCGAAAAATACTTGAGAAAAAATCTCACTTGACTGAAATGAAAGTAGGAGAGCACCCTTACTTGACTCAGATTTACCTTCAGCTAGGTATAAACCGTTATCTCACTATACCCCCCTTTAAGTTAGACCAGCATCCCAGCAACTGCACTCGTAAATAACATAGCTCCCATAGCAAATCCGATCTTCCATGGGACTATATCCGCTTTATACACTCCAATAGCAGCATTAGTACTGGTCGCTTTAGCAATTGAAGCTGTAGTTGCAGAAGCCCCGGTTCTTGACGGAGCGGGAGTGGTTGAAGCAGTGTTTGGTGACTTAGTATTCTTGGCCGTTGTGCCGCTAGTAGTTTCTGAAACAAAGGTTTCGCTGTCAGTAGTCGACGGCTCTGCGGTGGTAGTTTCTGAAACAAGGTTTTCCTCGTCCGTTGTCGACGGCTCCACGGTGCCTGCTATGTCTGCCAGACAAGCCTGACAAAATCCAGTGTCTTTCGCCTGTTCCCTAGCGAGCTCAACTTGATCCGCAGCTGAGTAGAACCCAAAGGGGTCGCATTGAACAGAATCAATCTCTGCATTAAGGCAGTTTTCGAGCTTGGAGAGACTCGGGCCATCGTCAACAGTTGGGCAGTAGACGAAGCACCCACCTCGAGTATTATCTTCTTCAACCAGTCGGTTATGGTCATAGACCTGAGCTACAGAGCGGGGCCGCAGCATTTTGTGAAAGCATCAAATGCTTCATCGCTGTAGGTGTGATAACAAGCCCCGTCCATCTTAGAGGGGCCCCGATCAGAAGTGCAGATAGACATGTTGGTTAAGATTGTTGATAGAACTAAGACCGATTTGTGCTGATGCTTCGCTTCTAAGGGTAAGGTTAAATGTAAGAAGGTAGTTGGTAAGAAGAAAAAGAGTCGAATGCCTTACTAGATCTTTTTGTATTGATGAAGAGTGTGCCCATAAGAAACAATCAGGAGAGATAGTTTGATTACCTTATACATATGTCTCCAGACATTATTCTCGATCATTATGACTCCATCTTCTCATGCTATAACAATAAAGCCTGACCCATGTCCTCAGTAAGGTCAAATTGAAGCTAGCTTTAATAATGCGGTTACGAAATATACGTAATTTAGTAGCAACAGAGCCTCCATTCATTACATAGCCAACCTGAATACTACTAAGTAAGAATAGAGCTAGTGCTTAGGCATCCATGATAGCTGTTACACTCCGCCAGCATCTACTTTGTTAGCTTGGTACTTTACAGGATGCGATTGGCAAGTTGATGACGATCAGTACCAAGCTAACAAAGTAGATGCTGGCGGAGTGTATAATATCAGGTCTCTCAGGACTTTTAGACCGCTATCAAGGGTAAGCACGGGTCCAGGGCGCCGAAATTGACATGTGTTGCACAAACACAAACCAAGGAGACGAAACATGACTCGTACTCGGTAAGTGGACCACCGTAGTCAGCTTCCCCTATACGACGGATACAGGCTGACTCGCTGTCTACCATCAAGTTATTGTAGTGCAGTGGCAGAGACTCGCCATCCTGAGAATACTAGCCGGTACAGACAAAGTGGTATATGGTATGTTGACCGTCCAAGTGCTAGAGATAATGGTAGACTGACATTCCCTCCAGCGTGAACTCAGTCTCAGATGCTAGGGCATTCATTCCTATTGGCAAGATATTTGATTTGGAAGTAAGCTTTAAAACATCCGCCGCCAAAAGTGAGGCTAAATCTCAAAATCAGGCTCTTTTTAAGCAGTTTGGCAGTATAGAAAGAAACAGAGGTGGGGGTTCTTTTTAATAGATACATCGATCAATATGTCCGGAGCGTTATATTCGGCATGTGCTAGTATAGGAAATACTAACTACTTATGCTATTATTGTAGGTAGTGTTGCGAGTTTAGCAGATGCAGTAGGTAGTTATTCATCAAGTGTGTATGGGAATTAGCTACAAGGTCATAAGGCTTACCATAGCAGCAAGATCATACAGCTTACCATAGCAATCATACAGCTTACCAGAGCGGTGAGGTCTTATGGCTTTTCAATTGTATGTATAATCAATTTAGAATCACTGACCAGATGATAATAGTTTGATTGTGAAAGTTTTAGGCCCTGATATCATATGCAGATTTATTGATTGTATTCCAAGATAATCATTCGTGACCTTTCTTTTCTCCCATGGGCTTGCGAAGAATACAATCAGAAGAATCTACGAGGAAAATACAATGAACGCGTATACATTTCATGCAGCTTCGGACAACAAAGAAACCAATAGCTTATTCTTGGCATCGCCTCTCTCTCGTAAGCCTTTCCCTTCTTGTAAGAAGTAAGACTCAATAACACAGCAACACACAATGCGGTAACGCAGCAACACAGGCAACACGAGAGCCATGTGAGCCCAAATGAATCATTTCTATAGACTAATATGCTTTGCGAATAGCATCATGCACCCCTTGCTGATGCATTATTTGTTGTTTCAATGAACATTCATACCACAGATGTGATGTTTCTCGTGTTGAATTGGATTGCCTAACAGGGAAGGAGAATGTGCATAGACGTCTGCCTAGGATCTGCGAAGTAATGCTCACCGTAACATTGAGTTGCCGACCCATGATAGTTTTAGTTGCCGGCCAACTATAGTCTTTGTCTCACAATCAACTAGTCAAACATGTGCCTAATTTTAATTGTACGGTTACTACATCTGTTAATGTATTGTGCTAGCTTGGACTACTAATGGTTTACAATGATAAACTTGATTAAAGATTTTTGCATTTATTCACTACTATAGAGTATTTGAGTTACTTACAGAGTCTACGGAGAACTTATAGGCCTCGCTTATACACTTGCAACTGTTAGTTTCAACCCTTAATAGGCTAATGGAAATGTTACTAAGCCAATGGACAGGTAGCAAGTAAGGTTTCGCATTTCGTAACCCACTTAGGAAGGCTCTAATTCGATCGCGAAAGATGGCATCAGCAACTTAGCATATACGAATACTGTGAACATATTGCTACGCTGACTTTGTTGTTTATGCCTCTTTAGTATGTTGCTATGATGATCTTATACATGCTAGGACTAGTTGAGTGGCCTGATACTTTCGTTGCATCTCGAATCGACGCTCCCCTGTGCAAATCGGTCTCCACATTAGTCAATTGGGCTATGGCTTATACAAATCTAAGAGTTCATTCATGTATAAAAGGGACGTCCATTTCCTCCAAGTACAGAAGAATTCAACACAGGACTTCAGAGAACAAGCATTCCTAGATATTTTACACATTCTCCAATATCGCAATTCGCCATGGCTGTTCTGTCTCGCGTCTTCTTGGCCGCTGCTGCCGCCGCCCTAGGGGCCTCTGCTCTCGGTGCTCCTGATGTCACTTTGACAGTGAGTCGGGCAATAGGATGTTATTAACAAGATGGCTAATTTTCATCAGTTTGACGATATTGCGGTTTCTAATGAGGAATCATGCGGAAGGTCGCAGCTTTCTCAGGAGGATCCTTACCACGTAAGTTACTACTGCCTTTTCCTTGTGCCTGTTAGTGAGCTAATGACAACTTTAGGGCATCATTATTACCGGTACTGAATACAACTTGGTCATCAACTCCACCAAGACTGCTGCTTGTCCCAACTCTCAGCCCTTCACTTACTTTGCTGAATGGGCTTCCTCCGGCAGCAACGTTCTCCTCAACCTCGCCGATGGGATCAGATTCCACGCCCCAGAGTCGGAGAAGCTTAATGCGGGCTTTTTCCATGCAGGATTTGTCTACGGCGAGGATCAGCTAGCCCCGGGTATCACGAACGTCACTGTTCAGATTCATGTCAAAACTTCCGACGGAAAGGACCAGTTGTTCCAAGACTTTCCTCTCACGTCAGGAAACTTTGGACCTTGGCAGGTTTTTGTCAATGAAACCAGTGCCGATTGGATCCAGGTTCAAGGCTATGCTTTCGCGTATACTGGCTCTTCTGTCATCACCACCACCAACCTTATCGTTGATGATGCTGAGCTCTGGTATGCCTAAGCAGTTTAAGGAATTATTAGTATCTACCATCTCGTTATTCCGTATATAGAGACTGGTATATTCATGTTGATATTTTAACTTCTATCACCACATAGTTTACGAAAATCAATGTTTATGATCAAATATGTTGATTCCGTACTTACTGCCGAGTTGATTAGATGTTCCCACAGACTGCACGTCTGATTCTGACCGATTGTGGAGATTTATGTGACCGAATTTGTAATACACCCATTCCCAACTGACAGTATCACGGTCGATTGTTTCATCCCGCGAATTTGTAAACAATTCACAGGAAACAGATGATGCATAAAAAATAATTGCACCGGAACTCGCTCGTCGTGCAGGTTCCTAGTTGGGCAAAGCGCATCGATTCTAACCCGACATAGCTGCGAGGGAGATCTCGATTATTGCCGCTCTATTTACCGAGATGCAAATCCGGTAAAGCTACTCCGTAATCTCTCGGGAGCTTTGTTGCTTTTTGATGGCAAGAGGTCTGCTTCCTGAAATAGGAAACTGCCTCGATGTATTGTTTTCTTGAACATGTGGATAGCAGATTCGGATTTGTCGGAATTCATAACGGGATAGAAAGAGTTGTCAATGTTGCCTGCACTTGCCCAGCATATAGAACTGTATATAATACGCTGTATGCTCTCCTGTTCAACAACACGTTCAACATCAGATAACAAGATCAAACTCAATATATATTTCAAGACAAACTATTCATCATCTCTCCATCAACATGTCAACCCAGCAAACAGCCAAGACCCAATATGTACAGGCTTCCAATGGAGCCAAGTATGCCTACCGCCGCATTGGAGCAGCAACAGAAACTCCTTTGCTCTGCTTGGGCCATTTCAGGTCTACAATGGATCATTGGGACCCTCTGTTGATCAATACTATTGCAGCGCGTCGAAATGTGATTCTCTACGATTATCCTAGCGCTGGTCGAAGCACTGGGCAGGTCGCTTCAACAATCCGCCAGATGGCTGCTGATGTACACACTTTCCTCGGCCTCATTGGACTCACTGAAGTCGATATTCTAGGTTTCAGCATTGGTGGAATGGTAACCCAGCTCGTCGGACTGAATGCACCGTCTACCATCAATGTACGGAAGCTTATTCTTTGCGGCACCGGTCCCAGCGCTGGACCAGAGTCGGTTCCTACTCCAAACATGGCTGGCGTTTTGGAATACTCTGGAGCCAAGCACATGGAGTTGCCGCAAATGCGAATTTTGTTCTTTCCAATGACCAAAGAAGGAGAGTATGCTGCTCAGGGTTATTGGGAGAGAATCCACGAGCGAGGCGTCGAGAGCTCCGGTGAAGAGCACGTGAAATTTCTCAGCGACGGACTGACTGATGGAGGCGACGGAATGAACACAATGCGCAACGGTATTACCGAGTTCTTTACGCCGGAGACCTCTCAAGGACTCAACGGATCCTATGATAGACTCGCGGATTTGAAGATGCCCGTTCTAGTAGCAAACGGTCATGTGAGCTTCCCTCGCCACTTTAACAAAGCCCTTATGCTAACATCTATTTATCTCAGGATGATTATATGCTCCCCACTGTCAACAGCTGGGTGATTCAGCAAAAAGTGCCCAACGGAACGCTCATTGTTTACCCGCGAAGTGGCCACGGCTTCCTCTTCCATTTCCCGACCCAATTCGGCAGTGATGTGCTGAACTTTTTGGAGTCTTAAGTGGCTGATTCAATGGGCTACTTTTGGCGATTGAGAGCGTTATTCGTGGGTTTCTTCGAGAAACCACTGCAATAGTCGCTTAGATTCATCAAAGTTTTCGACGTTGGAGAGCCATATTCTACTTTGGAAGAGGGGAAATACTGTATCTCTGTTCACGGACTACCTTGCAATGTACTCTATGACTTCAAATACTATCAATCTTCACGTGAAATTGTGTCTGTTAGAAGTTGATGTGGGTATGGCTGTATCAAAGGAGAGTCGTTCAAAATGATGCTGTGCTCAACCAACGTTTACCCAGAAGTGTCTGATGATATCCCTAGATGAGATAGGTCCAACTGTGATAAAGCTGAATTCGAAGCAGCGGAAGGCTGGGAAGCAGTTGCTGGACTAGACATTTTCCCAGAATGGAGACACCCGTACTCAACTTACCCTGAACCAATATTCCGATCGCAAGCATTGGGCTAAAAATACTTGCTAGACGGGATATATATCATCATGATGCATACAAGTTTATAGTACAGCACATATATTTCGATGAATCACAAGAGTTGCCTGTAATCTTGTAAACATTGTCTTTCGCTACTGTATGAACTATTACCTTGAGTATGTTGTCCAATCCAAAATGATGCAGAGGAGGAAGCAGAATTCCACCCAGCTTAGGTCTACTCCCATGAATTCTTTTTACAGTGAATCTTTTATGGACACTATTGTTTATACTAAGTTTCCCGCTTGTTCAGCTCGTTTTTAAGTGTAGTTCACGAGGAAGCCTCAGCTGTGAGACACCGCCACAAATGTTCATAGAGACCTTACCAAATGTGATAGAGCAAGGGTCGTTGGCATCACAGCCTCCCTGCGCGGTAAAATGGGGCTATGCAGTTCGTCCAGACCCTCGTCATAGGGCTGAAGCCAATAGTGGCAGTATTGGCGTCATCGTGAAGCGTTCTCTTTCAGTTATTGGGCCGGCATTATTAACCTTCTTAGGACTTTCCAGTTGTCCGAGGCTGTTGCAACAAAGGCATATATGACTTTTCATTGCGCACTTGTCATTTTCCTACCGGTTGCGCCCTTGAACTAGGATCATGTCACGCGTACGGAATTTATTTACCAATATCGTTAGCTACAGAGCTCGTAGGCTCAGCTTCCCTGCTTGCAGCAAGTGATTCAGCCTACCTAATGCGGCCGCAGGGTATTATTGCTCCATATTCCAGCTCCAAATCCACCTGGCTGCATATTCGGCGAATTGTGAATAGCAGGAGACAGTGGTCAAAGCTGTCACATTATGTTCCAATGTGAGAGGTTATTTGATACATGTATCAGAAGCCGATGAAAGCGGCGGCTTTTAGGGATCGGGCTTTGACTTACACCAATGGGTTCTACATTATTCCACAAAAGCATCAAACCCTACACCTTGTCGGAATATTATGAGAAAACACGTAGGCTTGTATGAGTTGAGACATCAAACCATGCTGAGTAAACCAAGTGAGACGCAAGCGCGGATAAACTCCACGAATGTCTTAAAATTTATACATTTTGCTTGAGCGTAACCGCTCTGATATAAGAGTTCCAGCACTGGCGCCTATAATTTGTCCCCGTCCATTGACAAAAATCACGCTCTATACATCAAGGTAAAAGAAAGAAAAGAAAAGCCAGCCCCTCCTAAGCTAAAAAATACTATATACACCGTGTAAATTCTCTCTTTTCCCCGTCCTCATAACATAGGAAGTCGGTATGCCATTGCGTGTTTATTTGTGGCGGTATGGTTCGTATGCCGTATTTGTGTTATCGAAGGTGGGTGCGGGTGCTGTGGTATGACCTGTGTGAGAGCCAGAGCCAGCTCCCATATCAACCTTTTCGTAGCTGTGCTGCGGAGAAGAGCGAGGAGCTGAAGAGCGGCCCGAGCAGCAACAAGAGCTGAAGAGCCACAGGACTGAGCTTGCCAGGGATAACGCAGCGGCGAGCCATGATGCGGCAAAAAGGTTGCCGCCCAAGTTGGCCTTGACACCGTATTCTTTGAGGGAGGAGTTGAAGACACCGGTCAAGACTACAAACAGAGCGGTTGAAGTAATGCTTGCAGCGAACATGAAGATGGTTGCGACCTGTAGAGATTTGTTAATAAAACGGTACGACAGATGCTCGATTGCGACAGATTTAGACTTACCACAGCCACGACGGTTGTAGCCAGGCTTCCAATGCGGCTGAAAATGGCCGAAAAGCCAACAAGCAGCTGAAGACAGGTGGTGGCAAAGGCAAGGACGTATGAAACAAACATCCAGTGAGACACCTTTTGGTAAGTCTTGAGCTCAGACTGGAGGTGCGTTGGGAGCAAGTCAGGCACGCCGCTGATGTTCAAGTGCCAGACCTCCAGCGGGTTGAACCAAAAGCTTCCCTTGGGCTTGCTGCAGAAGTCGACGTTAAATTCGTTGTGTTCCTTGTCTCCGGAGCAATAACCGAAGAGACCAATGTTGTAGAAATCGCGTAGTTCGCCGTCCTTCTCCGCCTCCTCCATAGCCGCGGCAAGCTCCTCGGTGGCATTAGCATTTCGCATAGCGGTTGAGGTGAGGTTCAGCAGCTGGTCGCCGAATCTAGTCGCTTCAACGGCCGTGACATTGGAGAGATCGGCCTATGGTAATTAGTCAGAGGATTCTACGCAGATAGACGCCATTCGAAATCTGCGACGCAAGGCAAGAAAACTCACCCTCATAAAATACAGCTTGTTTAGTGTAGCTGAATCAGAATCCGTGGAACCGATGCCCACGAAAATGATGGCAACTAAAGCACCTATCGTCCATAGATATGGCACCGCGATGCACGCGATACGACCTCCCTTACCCATTTTTGAATAGAAGACAATACGACAATGGCTAAAGATTTGACAAAGAAAGGAAAGGAAGGAAAGTCGACGCAGACGGGCTCGAGTTTTGCCAATATACTTATGCCACGCTCTGGCGGGAAGCGGCTCCAAACATACAAAGCAGGGCGTGCGTAGAGTAAGTATTAGTTCTGTAAGCCCGCAAATAACATGGAACTCTTCAACAGAAAAGGCCGTTTGCTATAATAAATGAGCCAAGGCCAACTGTTCGAGCGCCAATGCACAGCAAACTCCTAATTAGCAATCTAAGTATAAATTTAGAATCAGCCTAGAAGCGGGCCGGTCATCATGGGCTCAGCCACGCTGGCATTAGCTATCTGACAGAGTGTGGAGCAAGACCCTGAAGCGAGTCGACAGGGTTGCATGCCTGGGAAGAGCTTAGTATGACACGGTCGAAGAGCTTAGTATGATTGTGGTTAGGAAGCTGACAGCTGCGATAGGGCGGAAACGCTCGTTTTCTGTTCCTGGAGAGGTGCCAGAGGTGTGCCGGTGTTGCAGATGAGCCCAGCTCTGAGCTTACAGTTGACAAGATCGTCAGGGATCAGCATATATTGTTTAGTAAACCATGCCGGTAAACAATTTCGCGGAGTTCATCACAGCGAATAGTCCTGGGAATAGTCCTGGGAATAGCTTTAACACCGGACTCTTTCGTCGGAGTTTGATCCCAGAATCAGACCAGACTTGTTGAGCCGGACCCATTCGTACAGCGTGAAGAAGCCAGCACACTATTTTTCTCTAGTGTCTTCCTTCCCCCGCCAGATTCGGGCGGTTCTTTTGGAGCTCCGTAAATCTGTTGGTGCTCATGATACTACGGCAGTTATTATGGTGCGAAAGGTGTAGTGTAGGATGCAGGAGGATCCATATCAGCCCAACGGCACATTGCCGAGTTTGTCCGTGCTTGTAGATGCCTGTTCATCACATCATATGCCTGCCGAACTTGCCCGTGCTAGCAGATGTCTGTGATCACGTCAAGCGCCCGCATAGGCGTTTAGAACTCGATTCTAGCTGTACTCTAGCTGTACTACTATTATATATTTTGTCTCTTTCTTGATATTTTGTATCTATTTCTAGTTGACTCTCTATTACAGTTTGTCCGATGATTGGTAGTGAGGTCCCGAGTGCAGAGTCGACCCAATGCGTTCATGTGCCAAATCAGCATCGTGTACTCCTTAGCTCGGGGTGGTTGGAAATAGAACGACACACAAAGCAACAACTAATCATGTGAAATTACATCAAGTTCAGGACCTAAACTAGCATTCCTACCGTGTTTTGAATACACATCTGTGTAAGCACCCAACTTCACCGCAGCTTTGGAAAGTTAGGCTGTGTTTGCGGGTCGCCGTCAGCCCAGACAGGGGTGGGCTGTGTGAACTCCATTATGCCTCGATTCTTAGATCTCTTTGGGGAAAGCGCTGCGCCCTAAAAAAAGAAAATGGCCTTGATGGAGTCGACCTATCCTAGCTTGATAGTGAGGCTCTGAGTTGGTGGGCTGTGTGCGGCAAGTTCAGATAAATATTAATATTCACGGGGGCAAGCAAAGCTCAACTCCATAAACAGCCAAGTCAAAAAGAGAGTAAGAGTATTACCACAAACACTTAAGAGTAGTGTCGTGGCTCTCTAATCCTTTTCTCTCTCTTCTCCTCTCTCCATCCAGCATTGTTTTATTATTTTTGTGCAGCGGTTTGTCTTTATTCCTTTTGTCTCCATAGAAGTGATGGCTTGGTTATCACGCCTCTCCGCCGTCGCGGCTCTCGCGACAACGGCACTCGCCGCAGAAGCATCAACATCATCAGCAAAAACTCCCGCTGCCGAGCCTTGTGCACAGATTGCCGCCTTGGTGAAAAAAGATGGTCAGTCTTGAATCTGTTGGCATTGTCTCTGCATCACATCGCCTAACACAACGCAGTGAACCGATTTTCAAGTGAGCTTGGACTTGCTTGCTTGGAATCACTACCTTTCAAGTCCGACCTCGCAGTGAGCTTCGTCGACGACTACACCAAATATCTTCAATGGCAATCCACAAGCGAGATTCTGAGAGGTATGTCTTGTCCTTTGTCCTCTTCTTTCCTGTAGCAGGGTCTAATAGGGCATATCTAGATCCGCCCAAAGGCTCCGTCTCCTCCACCATCGACCTCTTTGGTGGCATGGCAAACATTCGTGATAGAGCATCCGCCAACCTGTACAAGTCCCAATACGACTTTGACCTCGACTTGACCCATCTCATTGGCTTTGCAAATGATGGCCATCTCGCTCTCACGCCGTGTTCATTTGGCGCCATTGCCTGGCTCAGCCCTCTTTCTTTAGTTTCACTCTCTACTGATGGTGTTGCTATTCCCAAACTTTACACGCTATGTAAGTACTCATGCATCTATATATGTACCTTCCATCCCCATGGCCAGATGCAGTTGTCTAACCAAGTATGGCAAACAGCGGACGGCGAACTCCTAGCAGCCGGAAACACAGACGTATCCCCTGTGATACTCATCAACGGAGTTGGTGCCGAGGTGTATATCGAGGAACTCTCCGAGAATGTCGGTCTCCAGGACGCCGATGCTCGATATAACTCCATGTTGGCCAACGTGCCCATTGGCCGCGATGGTTCGGAGAACGATGGCGGCTTTTCCTTCTTCCAATCATTCCCAGGCGTCCACGAGTTCAACGTGACATATGGCAACGGAACTCTGGCTTCTTACCCTCTCAGCACAGGCATCCTCACAGCCCTCGGCGGCTTCACTTTCCAAACTGGCGAGGCGCTGTGGGATGCCATCTGCGACCCCGCGTCTGCTAAGCCCTCGAAGAAGAGGTCTGTCGAAGACATTGTCAAGAACATAAAGCGAAGGGATGAGGCAGCACAGGAGAAAGCCGCACCCGAGACATACCCCAAGCCCGTTGTCAAGGATCCCTTCAACCTGTTGATCGGATACTTCCCTGATGATACGGAGCTCAAGGACGTTGCTGTCCTGACTGTGCCTACCTTTTCGACGGCGGGCGATGGCCTCCCAGATGACCAGGTTAAGAACTTTGCTCTCGAGGCTCAAGATTTTGTCAAAAGGGCTCTCGCTGCCGGCAAGTCCAGGATCATCATCGACGTCACCAACAACGGCGGTGGTGTTGTCGACTCGGGCTTCGGTTTGGTCAGCGTCTTCTTCCCCAACATGACCATCTTCTCGGCAACCCGATTCCGCTCTGTTCCTGCTACCCAGTTTATTGTCGAGACCGTCAGCCGCGTCAAGAATCCCTCCGACAACTTGCTGCTGACTCAATTCGGCTTCTTCGTCCCCGAACTGGTCCAGCCAGACCAAAAGACTACGTTTAAGACCACGGAAGAGTTCCTGGGCCCCTTTGAAACATTCGGTGTCCCCTCAACGGCCATTGTCGCTGCCAACGATTTTGACGAAACCGACCCGAACTCCGCCCCCATCAACATCTTTGGTCTTGGAGGAGGCCTCAATGAAACGGCGCCTCCTTTCAAGCCCGAGAACATTGTCATTGTAAGCAACCATTTCTCCCCCTGATATTTCATCGTTTACTAACAGCTACCACTAGCTCACTGATGGCCAGTGCTCCTCAACCTGCACCATCTTCATCAACCACATGATTCCCTATGGCGTCCGTGTTTTCGCCGCTGGTGGTCGCGCCCAAAACGGCCCCATGCAGGGAATCGGTGGTGTCAAGGGCAGCCAGGTTCTCGAACTTGAAAACATCTCACAGCTTTACGACGAGGCCAATGAACTTGTTCAAAACGCCACCGACGCCAAGAAGCCTCTGTTCACCGAAAAGGAATACTCCGTGTTCTCAGCTGCCATCCCTCCTCCCCTGGACAAGCTTCCCTTCAGAGTCAGCTCAGGATCAGTCAACTTCAGAAACGCATTTGCTCCATTCAACGACCAGGTCCCCACCCACTTCATCTACCAGCCCGCCGACTGCCGCCTGTTCTACACCGCTGAGATGCTTGGTAAGCCTGAATTGCTCTGGGTGAACGCCGCAAAGGCCGCCTGGCACAACGGTGCATGTGCCTTTTCGGTCGCGCCTACAAAGCCCATCAAGTCTGACGACGATGCCACCCCATCCTCTGGATCCGTCAAGTCTGACCCGACTACTACGGCGGCTCCTCAGCCAACTTCTACACACTCTTCGGATGACACTCCCGCGGCGTCCAGTGACACATCGTCTTCGAAGAAGAAGACTCTGTCTCCAGCCCACAAGGCACTTGGCCTGCTGCTGGCCATGGCCGAGGGACTGAGGCCCCAGGACTAAGGCCGCAGTAAATGAGTTGTTTGTTTTAGAAAAAGGATGTTTACCCAAATAGATTGGGCTTGTATATAAAGATTTCATAGTTACCGGATATACCATTTCAATTTTTAGTTCATTTTACAATTGTAACTCTTGATAGCTCACATTTTCTCGTATTGATTCCCGTATGGTTGTATAAAGGATCTCGTGACACGTGTACTCAACATTGAGAAGCAAGTAGTTTGTAACAGTACACAAGTCATGTCTTATCTTCAGTGTTCTTGGGATATGAGATCTACACAATTAGCTCCTTAGCTTATTCTGAGGCTCTCAACCAGTTTCTACATCACAGCCTAACTTATATCAACTCTAGTGTTAATCAACAATTCCGACATGTAGAGTACTTCTGAGCCTCTCGCCATTATTGCACTTAGGAGTAACCATCTTTCGGAGTTCAATTGCCAAGGCCCTAGGACATGTAGTGTGCATGTAGTACTGAAGCTAGCAGCCCACCACATCCCGCGCCGATTAATTTCTTGGAGATGCTGCGCCAAGTCTCTGCCGAGTTCCTTTCCGTGATCTGTGCCTCGTGGTAGCGCCAAAGCCACAAATGAGGCACAATGGAGAATGCAAGGGGCGAATAGAATATTCCTCAACGTCACGATTTGATATGACAAACACTCTGTATGAAGGAAGAATTATTGTCCAAGGCCAGTTAAGCCACACACATTTAGCCAAACGAAAAGGACTCAGCATCTCGAAAACTGGCCGTGTATGAATAAGACTCCAAACATAGGGGATTGCGCCAAGTGCCAAGTTAGACTACGGACGAATACGTGGTTATTAATCCCTAGGGCCCATATCATTGCGTACGGCAGTCGGTCCCGCGAA